AAACCTGCAGTCAGCTGAGACTGAAGAAGTCACTTGGATGAGTGACGAAACGTTTCTCCACAGAAAACACTACGTCCAGATGAACAGAATCAACTTTCGGACATTAGGCTACTTGTTTGTCCTCACGAGCTTTTCGTTTTGCTTGTTTTCACGAACAGGTAAAATAATGTGAGCATTAACAGTCTCATAAACTGGTCTGAATGTGTTGTGCTCTCTGTATGAAATGCGAGGCCCATTCACTTTCCTTGTTAGGGGGGAGAGCAGCTGCCTGTGTGTGGAACAGAGTAGAGGATAATGAGCAATACTTTAACAAGCATGCAAACAGGCGGGCCCAGTAGGATTATAATAAGCCTGTCTCTAATTAAAATGATAACCACTGTTGCATGTAATAAACTGTCAGGAGCTTATGGTAGCATAGTGGAGGAAGATGAATTTGCTGGCACTGCTGGGTTTCTCTTTAAAGACACCGATCCGCAGGCCCGTATTCGGTCTTCAATAACAAAACTATTTTTTGCCACTTTTTGTTGCGCACCATAATTCATTTTGCCTTAGCTATGTGTGTATGAGATTTAGGGCACTGCAGGGCAGCATAAAGCAGCATATTCATCATCTGTCTCCTTACCAGATCCTGCACAGACATCGCCATCTATTGGACAGTCCAAGTTATGGCATGGTTTCAATCCTTTGTTGGTAAAAACGCAATGTAAAAGTGAAACGTGAAAAATAAAAAGGGGATAACTGGTGGTATAAAAGTAAAGTCACATACAGGCTGTAATTAACCAATAGACTGTCACCAGTTAAACATTCATAGAAATACACTTATGAAAATAGAAACATTCAGCTTTGGGGAAACTTGGCTAGCTGCTCTGCTTTCTTAGTACTTTTCCTGCTGGAACCACATTATAAACCTGACATGTTGTTCAAGTATTATTATTAATTTAATATGCATTGTTTCTCTTTACAACTTTTTTTTTTTTTGCACTTAGCATCCTTACAGTCTCTGGTTGATGCCTTTAATTGTCACGTGGACACGTAAGCCACTTTGGCATATGACATAACTAACTATACAACTAAATGTGTTTATTGTGTATATGTCTTTTTCATTAAGCTGCCACAATCATCTGGATGACATTTAAGTTTGCTATGGTGTGAAATGTAACTAGAGCCCCAACGATTTATCATCAGACTGATATTTTCAGGCGATATTATCTATTATCATCTAGTATTTATAATGACTGTAAAATGAAATATTAAAAAAGTGAAGAAGAGAGGGGAGAAACACTTCAACCAAGTTATGGATGTTGGTGTTTTACACTTTTTGTCCACCAGAGGCCACTCTGTAACTTCTCTGTTAACAACTTACCTTTGGATACAACCAGCTGATCAGAGTAGAGTGGGCCTAGATTAAAGAAGTAAAGAAATCCCTAGACATAACAAATATTTGGGCAATCTATTTATGTATGTGCCAGAAAGAAAAACAAATATGGACTGGTATATCAAGCTATTGGATATTTTTTTAAATTCTCAAATAGTGATGTCTTAAAAATCTTATATGGGTCAGGCTCTAACTGTAACCCATGACCTGCTTAGTGGATGCAAACAAACAAAAATACTGCAATAAGATATGAAGCAATACATATACAAAACTGACAACAATATTGTATTATAATACAATATTGTACTAACAATACAATACTGTTCCTGCAGTTGGTGTCTTCAAGAACATACTTTCATATGATGACACACACATGCAAAGATTTGTACGGTTAAAAAAACAAACAAACAAAACGTGGCCAGTTTACCCTTCTTAGTGCCAACCAGTAGTATATAGCTGTCATGATTATATAGCTGACACCAGCCACCATAACATATTTGATACTTTTTTAAAGAAAACTTCAAATACTTCTGTATTTTTGGTGAGCTTCAAGTGATAACATATCATATATATCATATGATATGTTATCACTTGTTGACAGCACTGCAAACTCTTAGCCTTCTCTCAATGAGCTTCATGATGCAGTCACCTGAATTACATTTCACTTCACAGGTGTGCCTTCTCAGGGTTCATTTGTGGGATTTCTTGCCTTCTTAATGGGGTTGGGATCATCAATTGTGTTGTGTTGGTACATAGCCCTATTTGACAACTGTTAACATTCATGTTACGGCAAGAACCAATCAAAAAGATATAATATAATCCATTTAATATAATGTTTTACTTTGTAATTATGTAACCAAATTACACTGAATTCTTTTTTTTTTTTCTTTTTTTCTTTTTTTTTTTACATGTAATCAAATTACTTGAATTACTTAAATCATCATTTTGGGTATAAATATTATCTTGAGTGCAGTACTTCTGGGATGTATACTGAGTTCTCTGTGTGCTAAGAAGCTCAATCAAATACCTGTTTTGTGTACTCCAGTGAGCCAGATCCCTACGTACTCAGACTCAAACTGCATACAAAGTACAACATTCACACTTGCAAAAATACACTAAGTGTCACTGACAGGACTTTTGGTACTCACTGTTAATTCCTACCAGAATTCTCAAGGGAGTCATGGTAACTGTTCACCAAGCCTTTCTTTTTTTTTTAAATAATCACTGACTGAACAAAACCTGTATTTTTCAGTTTGTACTTAAGAAAAATAATAATAATTTAAAAAAAGGGCAGTGAAAGATTTTTAAGATCTTTCAGGTTCATTGTCCCATGCTTTAAACATGAGTCTTGACACTCCTTAGAACCATAATCTGTGTGGTCATGCATTACTGTCAGTGAGGAGTTTTTCTCCTCCTGACCAGTTCATTGAAATTCCCTGCATGTCTGTAAGGATTTTTCATGCTTCAGGTCTTGACATACAGTAGGAGTGGTTCTTTACAAGGTTTATGGAGTTTTGTAGTCAGACTACACAGCAAGGTCAAACTGTCTTTTTTTCCTCTCTTGCTGGATATGTTTGCATATTAAATGGAGCATAGTTTAACAAGTATTTCAAAGACTTTTTACTCCATAAAATGAATAATTACAATTGTTGTGAAATCTGGTTCCCATGAATATTGTGCACATCTTTCTGTTTCTAGACAGTTGAGTGTCCTTTCTTCTTGTAACCTACCATGTTTACCTTTGAAACTTTTCAATATTTTTAACAGTTAACAATAAGTGCAACAAATACTGCAGGGTGGGATGATGGCAAAATATATATCCACCTCATAAACAAGAGCCTAAAACCGCAACTATGAACTGGATTTGCCATGTTGCAGAACTGAATAGTATAGGGGAAAGAGTGGTGCATTATATATTTCCTCCAACACAATCGAGCCATATTTACTGATCTTCGTGCTATGACTCATTTCAACGTGATTTTTCCAGCATAAATTATGGACCAGGAGTCATATTTCAGCAGAGTTTGCTGATTCATTCGCCAAATTGAGCTTTCTGCTTCCAAACAGTGCTGTGCACTATCTACATTAAATTGTTCCTTCACTTGTACAGTGTGCCTTAAGTATAAACCCACAAAACCTGATTGTGTCACCAGGCAACAGAAATCTGTGGATACAATAAGTCTGTCTAATTTTCCCGTGCTGAAGCGGCATTTAATGTAATTTGGATAGTTTGGACTGGAGTGCAGCTTTTGTTTATATACTTTTTATGAAGTTAACAAGGCATTGTAAATATATTTGAGACGATTATGAGAATGGATTCTTATGAAACATAGTTCACTGTATTCATGTATTTCTAATGTATTTAATCCTGATGGTATTTTGTCAGTTTTTAAAATATTTTTTTTATGTTGTATTTAGACAGATAAAAATAGGGCCCCAGTAAGGGAGCAGCCAGAAATCCTTTTTATATAGGCAGAAAACTGCTGACTTTATCCAGAGTTTCTATAGTATTTGATTGGGCACATCATAATTTATCTATCTCATATATTCCTAAAGCACATTTTCTCTCCTTTCACTTTCTGACCCTGAATTAACCTATACGGTAGAATTTCCGGCCAAAACAAGTTTACAACATGAACTTCACCCAGATTAACAATTTCGGAGTTTATTGAGAGCATTTAAATGCAACATGTTACGTCGTTGACGAGTTTGACGAATCGCACAGGAGCCGGGACGCCTCCCACCCTCAGTGTTTAGCGGAGCCGCTAGAGTGGAGAAACACATAGCGGAGTCCGGTCCATCTCTACCGCAGCTAGCTAACCCCGCAGCAAGGCCATTGCGGGAAGATGGCGACGGAAAAAGTGAAGCATGAAGGAAGAGTTAAAATTGGACATTATATTCTCGGAGACACTCTCGGAGTGGGGACGTTTGGGAAGGTTAAAGGTATGTATAACTGTCTCAGGCGTTTGTGCATCCTGCCAGCTGCGAGACGGTGGGAGAGGGAGCTTTTAGCTTAGCTGCTAAGCTAGCATACTAGGAAAGCTAACTTGTCGCAGTGCTGGGGAGGCAACACACTTGTTGTCGCGTTATTTTCCGAACTTTTTTGTGTGTGACAAAACGCAGGTTTTAGAGCATGTCGTTGTAGTTTCTAAGATAAAGAAGACACTGCAAGTTTTATGAAATTGGCCTGTAGCTGGTCAGATAGTTTGCCATTTAGCGTCGGTTGCGTTGCGTGCTAGCTAGCGAAGCGCTTGTTGAGACATACACCGGGAAGTCAGCCCTCTTCATTGATGTTGCCGCAAGCAAGAGTACATTTTAATCGGTAAAGTACGGTTTCCTCTCTCTTGCCTTTAAACCCAACTCTGCACTACATTTATTCACAACTTCTTTCCCCACGAGTCGTATTTGTTGCCTGTTTCAAGCATTCAATGTTATTTCTGAAATTTAGATGGAGAGAGTTGGACAAACTCTGCTGAATCTACGCCCACTTTGTCAGTGCACAGGGCTGAACGCTTAGAAGCTTAAGTCAATATACAACTTGAGTTGTATCAACACGCAATGGACTAAAAACCTGTTTTATTTCTTAAAAGTGATCGTGTCTGTGCGTTACTTGTTTTGTTTACCTTACAGGCTGTTGTGTTCAGTAGAAACACTGAAACCACAATATATATCGAAATGGAGTGGAACCACCGCAAGCTGCGTGATCGGTTAATTCCCAATGAGTCATCTCCCAGCTCTCAGCTATTTGTTGATGTTGAGGGAAAAGAGCTAGAGTTGGTGCTGTGTGATTATGGTCTTGATTACTACCGACACAGCTGGTAAATCAAAACCAGCTGTTTGCTAACTCCCATGGGCAAATGCGCTGTCTTCCCACCGTCCATTGAGATGTTATCTTTTTGTTTCTTGTGCGGCTTTTTACCGCTTTCAGTTATGAGGACTCTGTATTTGACCTATTTGCTCATGTATTGACTGTGTATCCCCACTCATCTTTACAGATCATTTAGCATGTGCTAGGATTTTTTTATTTTGTTTTTTTTAAATATAACTTTCAGCTGGAGAATTTATAAAGTAGAGATGTGGCGTTCAAAGACTCTTGAATTTATATATTTGAGAGAATGCTGAAACAGCAGATAGAAGTAAAATTTTGCAAACTTGTTAGAGGTTTTGGTTAGCTTTGACTGATGTTTCATAAGTATGTGCCCTATAGTTGCTGGAACGTGTTTCAACATTGTGCGTGGCAAGATTTGCTTCTAGAAGGACTTTTGTTTCAGCATTAGATTTATCACACCCAGTAGGCAGCCAGTTTCAGCAAAAAACAAGAGAATTGTTTTACAGTCGTTCCATAATACCAAATGGCAAAGCTATGCTTTGATATGCTTGAGTGATTGAATATGGTTGACTGAATACAAAATACTTTTTTTCCTTTCTTCCATTTTTTTTTTTTATTTTGATTTTTTTTTTTTTTTTATATTCTTAAAATTGTGATAGGAGGTGGTGATTTAGATCTCCCATTCCTCACACTGACTTCAGGATATTGGTCCTATTGCTGCTGTCCTTCATCCACCATGCTGCCTTCTGTTTCCAAAATAGGTTTCACCTCTAAGATTCGTAGCATGTCCGGTAACCTTTATCCTAATAGTGTAAACAACAAATTACACCTTTCCTTAAGTTGCGTGAAGATGCCTTGTTTTGCATAATACTTCACCATTCCCTATTTTATATGGCCTTGGTTGTAATAGAATTGCTCCATCCACTCTCTTTCTATCCTTCAGTGGGCCAACATGAGCTGACCAAGCATCAAGTGGCAGTGAAGATCTTGAACAGGCAGAAGATCCGCAGTTTGGACGTGGTGGGAAAGATTCGCCGGGAGATCCAGAACCTCAAGCTTTTCAGGCACCCTCACATAATTAAACTGTAAGTCCTAGATTACACCCTGCTCACTGCTCCTTAATCCCCTTGCCACCACATTAATGCCACCCATTGAGCTATTTTCAGGCTTTTATAGTGTTGTTTTAGAATGCATCCATCTAGGACAGTATCCGTCTGACTCAGTCCACTCTCTCTTCTGACCTCTCCCTATTGTGCAGTATTGACTGTTTAGTTATTCCCTCAGTTGGTCTTTCATTTTAATGTACAAAAGTGCCCTGGCTTTGCCTTTGTTGTGGGTAGCTGTGTAGCTTGCTCTGCTGGTATTATTGTCAACATCTGGTAGGCTAAAGCAGATAAGTGTGTCATTTCAAATGAGTCATTTTTTAACGTCATAGTCTGAGCTGACTGTGCCATAATGTTCTGGTGCTCTAAGTTAAACTTACTATTTGACAGTTGTCAGGGGACTTCCTGTTTGGTAAGGGAATGTTCACAGACTCAAGGCCACAGTTACGGGGTCATTAAACTGACGGGGGGGCGGGTAGAATTGCCTGAAATACCCGTTCCATGTCAAGCATGTTAAAAAATGTAAGCTATGTCTGTGTGTCTACGCATGAGAGACTGATTCCATCTTTGGCAGGGTGCACGGACCACTGGGGCAAAGCACATAGTATTTGATTGGGCACATCATAATTTATCTA